AAGTTGATGGTGGCACTTTTCTGAAAAAGGTCTTTGTCGAAATCCATCTCTATATATGCATTGTCACCGAACATTAAATGACCTTTATTCAGGCCTTCTTGGATGGCATTTCAGAACACTAAATAGTTGTTGGTAGAGTGGCTCCACAATTTATGCCATTTGTAATACGTTTTCCCTTTGAGCTCTATGGCTAAGGGGGTTTTATGACTATAAGATAGCTTGATGATTTCTTTTATTAGAATATGGTTAAAAATTTGGTCAGCCCTAAAGATGTCAAACTCAGACTTTCGACTTGTATCGTCGATTCCCATATTAGCGCTGGTCGATGTCTGCGCTTGGCCTTGTTCTTCTAAAATCCTAGCAAGTGCCTTGCATACGTGTGGCCTCTTGGCCATGATCTCTGCTACATTCACTTTCACGCTTTGGTCCAGTTCAACCACGAGCATGTCAAAGTTGGGATCACGATAATAAGTCCTTTTCAAGGCATTCTTGCAGTCTTGCTCCTCCGGCAAGATCTACTCATTTTGAGTTGCTTGAGTCGCTAGATCAAATAATTCACTGATCACCATGCCTTTAAACTTCTTTTGGAGCTCAAAGGTCAGTTCGTTTTATGCGATGTGCTCATACTCCATTTCAAGCAGGGCAAATCTGCCCCTATTTCTGGTTTTTTTGAAACAAAAAATATACTACACTACCGTTTTGCCTGTCATCTGGTATAACCTAGCCAAATCAACCATTAATACTTCAGACTTCATTCGATAAAATTGTGCATAGAACTTGTCTTCTAGTTGCTACCAAATTAACAATAAGTTAGGCAACCAATCGATGTACCAGCGAAATGTAATTCCAATTAAGGAGTTTGCAAATTACCTCAACTTTAGAAACTCGTTCGCACCTACCTCACCACACTGCACGGTGAAGAGGCCAATGTGTTAGAAGGTCGATTGACTTGCTTCTCCTAAAATAGGGCCAAAATAGGAACTTTGTAGCCACGTGGATACTTGTCCTCTCTATTCACCAAGTCGAGATATGTGGATTTTGGTATGTTGGCCTAGTAACTAGCCTCATGGTGGGCTTGACGTGTTCCAAGATAATCTCATGCAGTTAATATCTCGATTCATAATCACTTACTTTGTCACGGAATAACAATTGGTGACTGTCTCATTTGCCTATACCTTAAGAATGGGCAGCATATCCTCTTGGAATAAAGGATTATTGCTTTTGCATGGGCCATTCTTGGCCTGCTGTGCCATTTCTGGCGGCAAATAAGGAGGAGGCACTAGTTGTGCCTTCATTGGTGCAACAGTTGGGAGTGGCGATTATTGCCTTGCTACTCCTTGTATGTTCAAGTTCTCGAATAGCTGCTCTAGTGCTTGTCTGGTGTAGACAAGTTCTTCTATTATCAAGTTTTCCAGGCTGTCGATGAATCCCGACATTTGCTAGAAAACCTCATGGAAAAATGCTCTGATCGAAACGTCTGGCTTTGAGTTAGATTCTCGATTTACTTGACCCTTAAGAAGAGGCAATTCTTCTTATAGGTTGTGAATACCAAACCTACTTTCTTCAACTATCTCGTGCCCTAGAGGCATGTCTTATGTGTCAGTTTTGGTATTTCCCTTAGTATGCGCCTTGCACTTATGATAGGTCCCACCGAGTATGTCAAAAAATATACTTAGTATTTTTCTAGCTAATTGCAATCGTGTCAAAGTACAAATGAACTTAATTTTTAAATATTTTCGATCTTACCTACTCAAATCGGTGTGAGGTTCTGAATCATGATTGTTCAAGCGATTGAAATAAAAAGTAAGGTTACCACTAAATTCTCTTCTCTACCTTGGAGATCAAGAACTTAAACTATTCCCTCTGGGAACAGGCTAATAAATTAATAATCAAAAGTATACTAGAATTGGAACAAACAATGAAGAAAACAACAAAGGAGAATTGTTGCATTAAACACTGAAGTTGGAATTGAACAAGAAAAAAGGGATCACCAGAATAACAATAACGTAATTATAGAGTGGAGTAAAATGAAAAAGACACAAATGTCAACAGTGCAGAGAAAGCCCCTGGTATGCTGAGGCTATTTTTCAAAACTAATAAGTTTTTGCTTCAGCAATAGGTCGAAGTTAACCTTTTTGCATCAGACACTTTTTACTACGCCCCTTTTGTCGAAGCAGAAATTCTTAGTGCTGAAGCAAAAAATTTTTGCTTTCGGCCCCAAGACCTTTTTGCTTCACATCTAAGAGCCGAAGCAAATCCCCCTTTTTCTTATAGTGCATTGATTGAGAGATCCCTTCTCCATTGCTTGTGTCTTTGTATTTATAGGCGATGACCTCTAACTGTTGGATCCATCTTTTCTGGCCACTAAACTAGCATCCGTGGTTTCTCTCTTATTAGTAACGTGCATTAAAACCATCTGCAACCAAAGACTACATGATGTCACATATGCCACGCCTCTTCGCATCCCGAGAGACTTGGAGATGATTACTCATAACAACCTTATCTCACTTGGACCTTCTCTGACTCAATTCTAGTTGTTGAATCTTGCCACGTGTTATTCTTAGATTCCTTAATATTTGAGTGTAGATTAATGCTACATAAATTTAAAAAGTAAACTGATAATCACAACCATTAGACTTAAAAACTAGACTAATAATTATAACTATTGAATAGGTAGTGGATTTCAATAAATGTTGAGACTCACAATTAAAATCAATGGTTATAATTATCAAGTCTACTTTTTAAATCTAATTTTTAAGTTCACATAGCATTACTTCAAATCTTTTAGTCCCAATTGCATTACTCAAAAGAAAAGGTAAACCTACAAATTGTATATACATATGCTTAAAATTAGTAATTTAAATTTAAATTTTAAATATTACTTACCATATAGTTCATCTTATTCATTTTAAATCTCATTTTGTACAGAGTCTAACATTACCCTTCAGTTTTTATTTTAATTGTATGAGAAGGCCATGCAGTTTTTGGATTCGGATTCCCTCCATTACCCATTCCCTTCAGTTCCCCTCAATACAATGTTAAATGAGTGATATGTGTAAGATTTTGAATTTCAATAGACAAGATTTTTTCTTGTAAGAAAATTCGTTAATAATAGTTAACATTCTACCAACAATAAAATGAACAAGAAAATATTTTATCCATTAAAATTTAAAAGTTTATACATATCATTTATCTAGCATTGTATTTAAAAAAATTGAGAAAAAGTGTAAGAGCAATACTACATGGATTTAAAAAATAGACTTAAAAATTAGACTTGATAATCTTAACCATTGATTTCACTGTGAGTTCGAACATTTATTGGGACTCACTACCTATTCAATTGTTGAGATTATCAAATCTAATTTTTAAGTCTAATTTTTAAATCTATTTAGCATTCCTCAAAGTGTAATAGGGTTGATCTAAATCCGCAGTTTCTATCTTCGTATTTTTTAAATAATCACTTTCGGAGTTTGATTCCACGAAAAGTCCATGCAGCCATTGGTTAGGACAGTTGTAGCTATCTATAGCTTTAAGGCAGTTGATGAGTTGGAGAAATCTGAATTCTTAAACTTACAGTTTCCTAACTGCCTGGGTCCCCCCTTATCATTGCGAATCCTTTTGCATCACCTTTTTGACATTAATAATTTGGTCAACTATTTCTTTTTCTCTATCTATCTGTGTCTCTCTGCACCCCAAACATACGCGCACACTCACACATAAAAAGCTTTCATTCCCACAATCTTAAGTGAGAGCCAAAAAGTTAAAGCTAATTGCTACAGGGAAGCCCATATTAGTGATGAACAGAACAGTCATCTGAGTTTTGAGGTACTACCCCCGAAGTGGTTGGCTGGTGCAGGTAGAAAGGTTCAGTCAATTGCTGGATCGCAACTTACCCACAAATCATTTATATATTTGCATAATATATATACACCTATACACACATACACAGACACACACACACCAATATATATAATCAACTACATATATATGCATGAAGGCGTGAGGATAGAGGAGAAAGGGAAGCATAGTTTAAAGCAATGTGAACATACAATAAGCTTTTCAACGTTCTGCAATTTTTTCCTTTAATTTCCTGTAAATTTTGTATTATTTGCAGAGCAATGGGACAAGAATTGATACTTGGACTTCGTTTCTTTGTTGTGGCTGTTTCTAAGTTGTCCCTTCTTGCCTTATAATTTCTCAAGAATCAATCAAAACATGATTGAAAATCTCATGACCAAACCTTCCTCTCAAACTGATTGCATGGTCCACACGTACTCTCCGCCACTTAGCAAGAAGACAACATGCTACGATAAGGCAGTGTGTCCAAAACTTAAGTAATTTGAGATTCATTAGTTTGATAATAAGAAAGATTTTTTTTTTTTTTTTATGCATTAAAATAGTTCCAGTTTATAGTTTCTGTGATCAACAATTGTTCATACCACCTCTTAGATATAATGCAGGGATAGAAAAAGTTAGTGGACCTAAAATAGAGTCCAAATGACGAAACAAGATCAATAAAATTTAAATATGAAATCGCTAAAAGTGAACATATTTTTCGGTCAATCTAACATTATTCAAAGTTGGAAGATATAAGAGTAATATTATTTCAACCTAATTTATAGATCTAATTCATTGCGGTCGTTGAATTAGCTGCAAGTCCTAATGTTGCATAGAGTTTACTATCAATTTAATTATGTATTTAGTGACTTAACTCAACAAATTAAGCCAATAAAGTATGTTTGAATAGCACTATTCAAGATATAAATTAACAGATTACATGTGATTGGTCACTAAAAGCAAACCTGCATAAATATGCTGGTCTTTCTGTACAAAACACAAATACATATTTAAACACACAGATTATATATGTTATGAATGCATTATACAGAAGATAAATATGTATAGGTTATAGTTGTAATGAACAGTATATATCTCTGGAAAACACACTGAAAAGGGGTTGGGGTGGAGTGACTCAAACCTTTCACACACAGCTAAGAAAACTAAGCAATCTCATGAAATAAAGGATCTTCAAGAAGCAGGTCAGGCCAAAATGAAGGCGGTGCTCCTCCATAGCTTGAAGTACTACAAGCATCCCCTGTATTGGTGATGGAAGTTTCAGTGACAGGCGGCGCCTCCGTAGGAGCTGGAGTTGAAGATGGCCACGGAGAATCAAGAGAATTCTTTCCTGGACTAAGGACTTTAAAGTTAGGGTTTTGACTTTGAACCATGTCATTATTCAGAGAGGTTTGAAAACTGCAAGGTGGTTGTAAATCAGGGAGGTGAGAGAATGGGATTGAGTCATGGATTCCTTGAAGAGTTGTGCTAGTTCCAAGGAAAGAGGAGGTAGGAGTTTCCAACTGGATTGCGTTTAGAACTGGGCCATCTTTCATTGAAGAGAGAGAGTTCAAAAGATTATAAGTCTCCATCTCTGACGCAGTGTTGATGTTGTCTGAGAAACCTGCCATGGAAGCTGGAGATTGAAGGAGATACTGAAGGTATTGAAGCCTTGCCATTTGAACAGTTTCTGATTGTAATCTCACAGCTTGTTCTTCCCATGAATGGTGTTCCATGAACTCTTTCAGATTAGCCAGAGCTATCAGATGAGGCAGGCTTGCGAAGATATCGGTTCGAGGCCGGTGAGTCATCGGATCAAAACCCATCTGAATTAGCTTCTTCCTCAGATGGGTGTTCCAGAAATTCTTAATTTCATTGTCCGTTCGTCCGGGTAGATGAGTTGCAATTGCAGACCACCTTGTTTAAAAATGAAAAAATATGAAAATAAGTGTGCGTGGTTAATGGTTCACGTTATCATATGCAATTCAGAGAGAGAGAGAGAGAGAGAGTCTGATCAATTACTTGTTTCCAAGGATGGAATGAAGATTCAGAATTGTTTGTTCTTCTTCTTGAGAGAACTTCCCTCTCTTGATATCAGGCCTCAAATAGTTGGTCCATCTTAGTCTGCAACTCTTTCCACATCTGTTGAGACCTGCAACAATCAAAAGAACACTCATTGATCAAGGGGGAGGGAGAGAGAGAGATAGAGAGAAGAAGAGAAGAGGGAGCCATAGATACCTGCAAGTTTGGGAAGGGCTCTCCAGCTTCCATGGCCATGTTTTTGGATATAATCGATGAGTTTTTGGTCTTCTTCGGGAGTCCAAGGACCTTTCTTGAGGCCAGTCTCATCACAACACGGAGACCTCCCCATTTTCTGTGAATATGTATTAGCTATGTTTCCCTATATTTGGCTGCCTCCCTCCGCTCCCACCAAATAATTGAGGGTATGTATATATACAAGCTCTCCTCTCCCGTCCTCTTGTTGTGTAATATAGAACGTGAATGACGTGGAAGTCTCCCATTTGCTTTCATCTTGAAGATACCCTTATTCATCCTGAAATGACATATACACCCTCCTCTATTTCTGTTTTTCTCTTATAAAGTAAAATAAATGTTCTATATTATTTTTTTCCTGTTAATATAAAGAGTAATACTAGATTAATCAAATTTTGGGATCAAATTTGAAGTTCAAATGACATGGTAATTGACTTGGACTTCTTTCATTGATGTCATGTTATTTAAACCCCAATAAAAACTCTCAATAATCAGCTGCCATGTCATTTGAGTTCTAAATTTGGTCCTAAAATTTGATTAATCTAACATTACTGTAATATAAAAGGGTAAGGAGAGACCAGATGTAGAGTCCTTCCACGACGTAACCACATAGCCTCCCTAAAACCCATTTTTATGGGGTTTTTTTTTTTGATTTTTCTTTTTTGGGAGAAGAAAGAGAGAGAGAATATCTCCTTCGTCTTACTATTTGAAAGAAGTAATATCCTATAACGCAATAAAGGAACAAATCCCTAATATGCAATCCCAATATGATTATCATTTGTATGAGTTTCAATTTTCATTATTCGTAACAATGTTAGAAAAAAAAAAATTTGTCAGTCCAAAAATCACCGATATACAAAACACCATCAATTGAATTAATAGTCATAAGAAAATTAGTCAATGTATATTTGAATATATGGATATCATCTGCATACCCTAAAACAAAAATCGGAAGAGCAAGAAGAATGGGTGATAGTTTTTGTACTTCTCTAATCAAGCAAGTCAAGTAGAGAGGGATCGCTGGCATGATATAGTTCTCATGTGGATTAGGTATCACCTCTCCTCCAAAGCCAAGTAGTGCCTAGCTGCTAGGCAGTGTCTTCTTGTTCACCATCATGTCATCAAATTGAATAAAGGGTAGTAATCTCATTTGATCCCCCTCCTGTCGCCATGGCATTGAAAAGGATTAAATTCATGAAGAATACAAATTTCACGGGATTAAAAATTTTTCAATTAGCCAACTCGTAGTTTTGTTGAAGAGATTACTAATTTCCTCAACATAACATTTGGAAAAGTTTTTTGAATAAGTACATAAAATCATGTCACTCACCTACGCAAGGTCTGAAGAACCACGGTTCTATTCCAATGACAGAATGTTACTTACAATGATCCATCATCCCAAATTCACATACATTGTCAATTAACACAAAATTTGAATCGATTCTCAATATATTTATATAAAAAGAAGCGATAGTTTAGCCAATAAATAAAGATATACAACAATACTTATTTTGGTTATTTGAGTTGTTTTCACATCATTTGGACTACAAATTTTGATCATTGTAATACCCAACAGGGGCATTATAGATATTTCAGCATTTCAGTACGTAATGAGACATTGATCAAAGTCGAAGCAGATCATAATAAAAACCAAAAGGAGAAAGTCATCATCATCATGCACACATGGCGACTGCTCGGTGGTCAGAGGAGACCACTCCATGCACGCAAGAGGAGGCATTCTTTCGTCATTGATTGCATGGCTATATAAATCATAAAACTTACGTACACATTGTTATAATAAATATATATATAAATTGATGGGTCCTCATTTGTTGTGAAATTGTTGGCCACCTTAGGCATAGGCCTTGTACGCAATCTCAAATGAACTCATACTCCTCCCACATAATATTACTGATTTCCATCATCACAAATTCATAGACAATCACATGGTGCCCACCCCCCCAAAAAAAAAAAAAAAAATAAACACTTTGATTGGACCTACTTGAAACTTTAGATCAAATTCATTTTTGGATCATTTTTTTGGGGTTAATCTGACCTGTTTTTGCATTTCTTAGGGCTTGTGGCAGAAGGGGGGGGGGGGAATTTAAATCATGGTGTTTGCCTTGAAATCCCACTTTTCCGACTTCAAATCTCAAGCAGCATCAGCCTCTTCTATTTATTCAGCTGGTTTGAGCTGTGGTTTTTTTCCCATTATTTCTTTCCTACAAGCTCAAGTTAGTAGATGATCTAAAATAAATAAATTGAGACTAAACAAGAATCTAACCTGCATATCATATAGGATAGAAGAACTCCTCAGTCAGCCTTGTCATCCATTGCTCAGAAAATAGAAGCTGATCCTGATAAATGCCTCGGAAGAAAATACATTAATCTCCAAGTACAAAAAGTTTTGGGATATAAAAGACTAACAAGGTTGGACTTTGTAAGATAAAGAAGTCCGTCAAAACGGAAAAAAAAAAAAAAAAAAAAAAAACTTAAGATTTTATAAGAATGCCAAGAGGGTTCACTCTCACAAACTTGTAAGTCTTTTGTAAACAGAGCTTCAGTATACAAACAAAACTAGGGTACACCCTGTATACAATCAATTAATCATTTACCTCCGCAAGAAAAAAGAAGATCTTATGAACATCCCCATAGGATATTTTTTTTTTTTCCTTTTCCTTTTCAGAAAACTATATTTTAAGGACGTTTGCAAACTATATTAACCATGTTGCGAAATCAAGGAACAGCATTCATGAAACTCGCGGAAGCAAAAAAGAAACTTGTCATGCCCATCAGCTATATTTTCTACCCTAATCAAACACCACTGTCGCCTTCATTCCAACAAGAAATCTGCTAGCCAGTCCATGCAGGGAGGAAGATCAACTCAGCTTTATTGCTTTGTGGTTCAAACACAATGAATTATTGATAATTAGAAATTTAGAATTTACCTTCTACTCCTTCCATTCCATTAACATGGATTAAGCCAAGCTATTATTATTATTATTTATTTTCAGATTTTTTTTTTTTGTAAAAGCTAATCTGATAAATGATTTCGTCCGACTTTCTGAAGATGAAAAATGAAGCAAATTAGAGAAGTGATAGATTAAAAGAAAAAAGAAAAGAAACCTATTTGACATTCAATTTCTGAGTGTGTGTGTGTGTGTATACAAGTAATAGGGATGTCCATATATACACGTATATATAAAGGCACACACGGTGTGTGTGTGTATAAATAAATGTGAATGTCACCAGTCCCCATACGAACAGAATCCATGGCTCTACGTCCATATCATGCTGATAATAAGATATTAAAATATTTCTGAGTAGAAACTCTGTTATTATCGAAAAACACCACAGAACTTACACTAAGATAGAGACATGCATGAAGCGATGTGACCCATTTGACAATTGAGGGAGCTGGTTAGAGGGGAAGTTGGTGCAGCCAACTCTTTAATTTCCACCACCTTTGAAACTCAAAAGACATCTTGTTTTTCACCCTAGAACGCGTCAATGGCATTCGTTCATGTATTTGTCCTCTTATTGATTGTCCTGTAATGTTATATTAACAAAATTTTAAGACTAAATTTAGAACACAAATGATATGGTAGCATATAACAAATTACTAATTATACAAAAAAACACAATTATTTATCAGAATTTGTTCCTTATTGTGAGCCAAGTTGTTTTTCGCATCACTAATAATATGAGTAATGTTACTGGAACTTAAAAAATTGATTTAATTTATTGATTTAATAATACAATTTTTTTGTAATCATTCGATTAACATGAAGTTTTAATGTTTAATAAGTTTCACGGTCAATCCAATTACTGTAGTAAATAAGGTCAATAAATTATATTTATAAATTAAATTTCAATAAAACTACCAATAATATATTATAACTTCAAAGTACAATTAAATGTCGGCATGTATGCCTCCATACATGTAAATGCATAAATATGGTTCCATGCATGCCTATGTAATTACAAACATAAGCATATGAATATGTGGAGGTTGTCATCGATGGCTATTTTCTATTCGAGGTCCAACCATCCAACTTGTCCTAAAAAGGCAATATCTTACTTCATTGGCTGCATCTTTCAAACCTAAACTCAATAGTAAAGTGTCACATCAATGGCCACACAGAGTCAAACTAACAACGACGAGAGATATTAGAATCCATTTCACACACACACACACACTCTCTCTCTCTCTCACACACACACACATTCATATTGCTGTCGGCACACGTTTTACACTTAAAAGAAACCAAAATGTTCTAAGCTTTAGGTTTACCCTGATCAACACCATCTTCAATAAGTTAGTTTAAGGATTTAGATTATCTCACAGAAGGGGAGAGAGAGAGAGATTGCTTCTTCAACTGAGGTTCCTTGTCGGGTGGACCACGTCCACATATCAAAAGAAGCAGGTTTAGTTTAAAAGGGTCGTGTGATGTCACCTGGAAACATATTCTACTGAGAAATAATCATTGTTTTAGTGTCCGCTAAACAACTGATTTGCTTGCTCTGTTGGGTTTCCACCCAATATATCTAAACTCCTACTTTGTATGTCTCAAGTGCCAAGTCTTTAGGGTTTCATGTCCATGCAGACAGTGGACGTCCACATACAATATTATATACGTGTGTGTCTCTATAAAAGACTTCTAGCATCTTCATGATCACTAAGTGCCAGCTACTTCTTGACAAAGTTTACAGAATGTCACAGTCATTGGAGATAGGAAACGGAAAAAAAAAACATAAATATATATATGATTCGATACATTATGTGAAATATAAAACACATCATCATGGTTACCATCATCTATACTTACTCAGACTCTCTAAATATTGTGAGATCTCGATTCCTAATTTCCTATCATATCTTGAATATTTCTAATACAACATTAAGCATAGATAATATCGTCAAGGGCTCTCTCAGCTATGAAATGAAAGTTCATAATTTGAGGGCCAATGATACATTGAGTGGAACTTATTGCTAGATTTATTGGAGACATTCAATTCCCAGTAATAATGAACTCTAACACGGTGATCCCCTAACATCTTACATGTTTGTCACTGCTTTGGAGGTCCTTAATTTGA